GAAGAATGTGGGAAATGGGGGAGGGTGAGAGGGAGGGAATCAAGGGGAAAAAGAAAGAAGCAAAATATTTAAGGAACCCAAAATGGGAAAGAAGTCTGTTGTTTATAATGTATATGGTAATGTTTTTGACTGAACCAATATGCAGTGGGTTCATGATGGGAAAATTAATTTGGTATGCTATGATGACACACAGTGATTAAATTTTAAAAATAAATAAAAATACACTAGGCATGTATGCATACAAGCTCAAAATCCCAAGAAAAGAAATAGAGAAGTGATGGCAGAGTGACCATCCCCCATGAGGGGCTGCTACTTGCTTGCTCCCCTCCGCCCTCTGTCTCTGGTGAGTGTACTCACCGTCTAGGAAATTAAATATATATCTATACATATTATTTTTAATGATGTATGCTGTGTTATTGACTGGAGTAAATTTATCCTTTCTATTCTTGATTATATTCTATCTATAATCAAAAGTAATTATTAATAAATTACTATTAACTAATAATAGCCAGTAGTGTTATTGTTAGTGTAATTACAAGAAGCGTTGCTGTTTTGGGAGACATTTTTCTTCAGTATATATCGATAGGGATGTTTAATCAAAGGATGGAATATTATACTAGTTTAGTAGTTATTGCTACAGTTTTTTAGTGTGCTTGAACCAGTTTTTACTGACCCAGTAATGGGTGAGAAATCCAGGTTAAGATCATAGTTTAATTAACATTTGATCAACTACATAAGATGTGTCTTGATATTTCTTGATGTAGATCTTTCAATTTGTTTTTGTTGTTCTAGGGAGCTGCATTTTCATATCCATTTTGGAGTAAGCTCATAATTTTTAAAAAGAATTATTAACTTTATTTATTTCTTTTTAATTTGACCAGAGAGGGACAGAGCATGTGAGAGAAGGGGGGGTGGGCAGTGAGAAAGCAAGTCACCAGGTCCGGGACTCCACCTGCGTTCGGTCTTGTGGGAGTCCAGTATCCTTAACCACCGTACCACCTACTGGCTCTAGCAGCTCATAATTTTTACAGAAACATGAGGATTTTGATCTGAGTAAGTTCGAATATGTAGATCAGTTTTGATGAATTGATATTGATATCTAATGTTATTTTTACAATTTTTGAACATAGTATACCTTTCTTTTAATTTGTCTTTTTAGATTGCAGAGAAATATTTTAAATATATATATATAGAATTTAAGCCACCAGTTCTGGGTCTTGAACCGCAGGCTACTACATGGGAATCCAGCGACATAGCCATTACGCCAACTGCTGGTCCCTAAATATATGGTTTCTAGCCTAGAGTTCAGACATATTATTGAGTTTGGAATATTATCTAATTTCCTTTTGAGTCCTTTTTGTCTTATAAGTTATATACAAGTGTAGTGTATAATTCTCAATATTTGGGGAATTTTTAATGTCTATTTTATTCAATTCTAAATGAATCTGTTACCATAAGAAGAAATATGCTATTATTTTATCATTTTCATACTTGTAGTTAAGTATATTGTGGTATATTTAGTCACACAGTCACCGAGGTTAGGACTTGCACCTATCTTTTTGAGGGACACTTTTCAATCCACTCCGTTAGGCCTTTTGGCTTTCAAAAATTCTTTTCCATTCCACTTGCAAAATATGTTCATACCTTGCCAACACCCCCAGAAGTCTCATCTCATTGTGACTTCAACCTTAAGTCCAAAGTCTTATCTAATTTAAATATCATCAGCTCAAAAAGTTCCAAATTGGGACAAGCAGATAGTGTAATGATTACATCACTGGACTCCTGCATAGGTGACCGTGGTTCGAGTCTTGGACCAAGCAGCTAAAAATTCACACTGAGCACATGTGCATACATGCCCAAAATCCTGAGAGGAGAATGGAGGAGAAGGGATTGTTGCATGGTCGTCCCCACTAGGGGTTGATTTCTTCCTTTCTGTCTCTCTATCTCTTCGCCAAGTGCCCTATAGCAAAAATCTCTCTAAAAATAAAAGGTTCCAAATTATCATCATCTAGATCACTAAATCCTGTATGGCTGGGATACTAGATATGATGCATCTTGGTTGGGGAAAAGCTGTTTTCTATTTGTGGAGATTTGATCTTAGAAAATAAGTTATCTGGCTCCAAAATAAAATAATGGGACAGATACAAGATGAGTATTTTTTATTACAAAAAGGAAAAATTAGAAGAAAGAAAGTGGTCGGTAGTCATAAGCAATTTTGAAATCTAGTGGGGAAAAATCCTTTAGATTTTAAGGTCTGAAAACAAGTCTTTATGGCTCTCTGGAACTGCAGAGGCTTTGCCCTCTGGGCTCATAGAGTCTCTGTTATGAACCCTGCCTCTCTGGTTCTGCCCTGGTCAGCTCCTGGCCCTGTTGCTTCTCCATCAGAGCCATTCTTCTTATTTCTGATGGATAACATGTATTTGCAACCAGTAATGTATTAGCCCATTTCCTGCCTGTAGAATTTTGGAAAGCCAATGGCCTTATTTCATTTTATTTTTTCTATTTGTCCTTTGTTCCCAGTTAGCATTGTTTCTGCTGATAGAGCATTCTTGAAAAAACTTGCGGGTTTCTTGCATATGTCTTAAATTCCACACTATTAAACACGAGGGTTCTCCACAGATTTCCCTGCAGAATCATATCTCTATCTTCTGGGCTGCTGCTTGGATGATTGAGGTGGTCTTTGAGTCATGAACCTACTTTCTGCAGCTACACCGTCAGTCTATTCTGCTTTTCAGAATTTTTTTTTTTTAATTTTTAGTCCTTTGAAATCTCCACAGAAGCTTCCAAATTATCTAGTGCTATTTCTCTCTCATTTTATGTTTCCTTTCACATTTTACTGTAAGAAACAAGGAATAACCAGGACATGCCTTTCATTTTGTTTGTTGTGTTGAAATTTTGTTTTTTGGATTTTGATTTTGTTCTTGGGGAAGGAGAGTGAGAGAGTAGGGGGTGAGAAAGAAATGAGGAGGGCAAAGAGAGGTAAAGAAGGAGATGGAGGATAGGGAGAGGAAGGAGTCCTATAAATATCAATTAAGTCAGTTTGATTGTTATTTAAATCTGTATCCTTACTGACTTTCTGCCTACTTGTTTTGTCAATTTAAAGAGGACTTTTTACCTTTCTGACTAAAATTATGAAACTATTTATTTTTTCTGTTTTATCAGTGTCTGCATCATGTATTTTGAGATTCTGTTATTAGGTACAGAATTGGTTAAGATTACTGTATCTGTCTGGTTAAATACACTCCCTTATCATGATGACATAAACTTCTTGATTCCTTGGAACATGTTTTCCTCTGAAATCTACTTTTTCTCATTTTCATATTGCTGGTGTAGCGTTATGGTTTATCAGACAGGGTCATATATGATTCCATTTATCTGTCTTTGCATTTTATTGTGGTGGTTACTGTAAGTTTATAATATACACCATTACTGTATCACAGTCTGCCTTCGAGTAATGTACATCTTCACAAAAACGTATTTTAAAACAGTATATTTCCATGTCTATGCTCCTGACCTTAGTGCTATTATAGAAATCCATTTTATGCCCCAAATCCCACATTGCATTGTTACTATGTTACTATATTTCTTTCTTTCTTTTTTTTTTTTGGAGAGGTTTTTGCTATAGGGTTCATGTGCTCTCCAGAAAGAGAGAGAGAGACAGAGACACAGAAAGCAAGAAATCACCCTCTAGGGGGGATGGCCACACCACAATCCCTTCTCCTCCATTCTCCTTTAGGGATCTTGGGTACACACACATGCACCTGACGTGAGTTTAAGCCACTTGGGCTGGGACTTGAACCGCAGTCGACTACTGGGAATCCAGCGACATAGCCATTATACCAACTGCTGGTTCCTGTTACTATTTTTCTTACTCAGTGACCTTCTTTTGGGGTGGAAATAGTACTGAAATACATATTTACTTGTATTACTACCACTTCCAGTAGTCTTCCTTCTTTTGTGCAGACCCATTTCCGTCTATATTCATTTTCCTGTGAACTAAAGGACTTAGGATACTTACTATTTCTTCTGTTTTGGCTCTACCTTTTAGGAATATGTTATTGTCTTAATGTATGAAAAAGCCTTTTTTATCTTCACTTTTGAGTGATTTTCATTTAGTAGAGATAGAATTTTAGCTTGACAGTTTGTTGTTCACTTCAGTTGTTTCTAGTAGGAATTCTGTCATCCTTATTCCTCTTTTTGTCTGAGATTTCTTTTAAGATTTTCTCTTTATCACTGTTTTTGAGAAATATGAATCTAATGAATCTTGTTGGAGTTTTCTTCATGGTTCTTTCTATTATTTTTTATTTTACATTTATTCACTGTTTATCATTATAGCATACAAAATGAATTTTGCAATCCAGAATACACTGAATACTGGCCCAATCAGAGATATTACCATACCCTAGATGAATTTCTATTTTGTATTTCTTAACTATTTTACTTCTTTCTTTTTTTCCCTTTGGTTCCCTCCATCTCACCCTCTGCCTTTCTCACCTCCCTTCCACACTATCTCTGGTGTCCACAATTGCTCTCCATGCTTTATATCTTCCCATCTTTCAATTTTTGCCATAGAGTGCACACATTCAGTATATATTAAGTGGGTATGTACAATCCCTCTCTCTGGCTTACTTCATTTAGCAGTAAATCTTCCAAGTTTGTCCACTCAAATGCTAGGATTTCTTTTTATTCATGGCTGAATAATATTCCATAGTGTATATGTGCCACAGTTCATTTATCTCTTTGTGTTAGTTCCATGTCTTAGCAGTTGTGAATAATGCCACAGTAAACATGGATGTGCAAGTGTTTTTCTGACTTAGTCCATTCCTATATTTTGGGTAGATACCCAGGAGTGGAATTAATACACCGTTAAATTGCTTAGAAACAGTTCCAACATTTCTTGTCTTGCTTTTCAGATTTTGAGGCTGAGTTCAACCTGTGTAGCACAGCCTTAAGTGTGCCGGATGGTAGGAGCTGGGAGCCATATGCTGTCTGTGTTTCAGGTTCCTGGATCCTGGCAGACTGGAGAATGGAGGAAGGGACTTGTGGTATAACCAAATCCTGTGGAGAGTACTGCTTGTTCTCTGTCTCCTATGTGTGTATACACTTCATCATAAAGAGTAAACTATTTTTAGGTTGGACTAATGTCAGTCTAGATTAACTATTACCCAATATTGAGATAAGACTTTTCTCTGTATGTTAACTAGTTCACTATGAACCTGCTTCTCTTGGGGTTTTCAAGACTGACTCATGGGAACATGTTCTGTTCGCAGTCCTGTGTGAGCACTAGGCATTGTTACTTTACAGCATGGCAGATGAGAGCCAAAGTTTATGTCCTAAGTAAATAGGGGAAAGTCATGATGTTTTTATGACCTAGCCTCAGAAGTCACCTAGCATCAGTTCTGCTATACTCAGAAAGATCAATAAGGACACAATGCAGGTATGTATGGGATAAGCCATATGTGTGAGTTTGCCACCTTTGGAAATACAGTCTGCCAAAAAGTTCTTTGCACTTCCATATAGATAGTAAAATCAGCTGGTTGATATCTGTTTCTAGTAAGTCTTCTGTAAACATGGTGTATTTTTATTTCTTTAGAGTTTCTTTGTATTTTTTTAATCAATATTTTTAAATTGTTAGTGACACCTTTACAGTTTTTATCTTATTTTAAATTGAATTTTTTTAATTCAGAGATTTTTGCAATGGAGGAGAAGGGATTGTTGCATGGTCATCCCCACTAGGGGTTGATTTCTTGCTTTCTGTCTCTCTATCTCTTTGCCAAGTACCCTATAGCAAAAACTTCTCAAAAAAAAAAAAAAAGAAATATTCCATATTTCACCTTGAAGTATCATGTTAACTTTATTTTTTTTTTTGAATTTCATAAAAGAGAAACAGAAAGAAAGATAGAGAAAGACAGGTACCTTCATCAGGGTCTCACCTGATGATGCTCTCGCCCGTTTCCCAGCATCAAGGATCATGGTTCTGTGTACACATGTGTACTCGGCATGTCCAAACTGACACAAGAACCTCCATCTTCCATATGGCTTTCAACATTGCAGAGGGGCATGCCACCACCATCCCACTGCAGCTTGCCTAGAATTGTTTTGAGATATTCTTTAACAGACTATGAAATTCCTACTTATTTTATTCAAGTATTTTATTGTAGTTGAGAGTTGGATTTTAAATGCTTTCCTCTATTTATTGGAAGAAAGTAGTAAATTATTTGATCTATAAAATACTTAAAGAACCTTATAATTTTTTTTAAGTTTGTTTTATTTCTTCCATGAGAGGGAGGAAGAAGGAGAGAGACACCCTCAATCTCAGAGAGCCCGGGTAATGGACCCAGTGTGTACAAGAAGGCTTGGGACATGAACCCTGGATTTTTCTCTTTTTTTTTTTTTCATTTTTAAAATTTTATTCATTCACTATAGATCATTATAGCATACAAAATGAGATTTCTCATTCAGAATACACTGTATATTGGCTCAATCAAGCACATCAAGATACATGTTATCATCAACAGAAATTTTCAATTTCTTGTTTCCTGTATATTTTACTTTCTTTTTTCTTCCTTTCTTTTTTTTTGTCATCCTTGATTCCCTATCTCTCACCCTCTGCTGGGTCCCACCCTCCTCCCACACTCTCCCTGGTATCCATGATTGCTTTCTATGCCTCTTCCCCTCATTTTATTGATTTGCTAATGAACTTAATTAATCTAAAAATTTCCATTAGTAAGCGCAGCTGATATATACACATCCATGAACACAAGTCTGACTTTAGGCATAAACCTCAGTGAGTAGAATGAACGTACTATAAAGTAGCACCTAGCTGGGGCTAAATAGCTTACTGCAGTCATCAAATATGCATTTATAATTTTTTGACAGACCCCACTTTGTCTTTATGTGTTGCCAGATTTAGTTTCCTAATATTCTAAGGCTTTCTAATATTTTATTATATATGTCGTTATAATTCTTTTTTCACTTTTGGTGAGTCATGATTATCCCAGCCTTAATAAAAACAAGTTGGGATGTCTTTTCTGTGTTCTGAAAAAAAAAATAGTCTTTAGTAACAGTTTTTTTTTCTTTTAATTGTTTTGTAGAACTTTCCAATGAAGCTATCTGGGCCTGGAGCTTTATTTGTGGGAAAGTATTTTTTAATCACCTTTACTAAGATGTAATGTGATTTTACATATCTTTTCCTCTCAGGTTATTTTTTTTTCTTAGTGTTGACTTAAATATTTATTTACACCTTTTGGGAAAAAAATCTTTTTGTGTTCTTCTTTCTTTTTTTTAATAGTATATTTCAAGTATCAGAAGTTTTAATTTTGATACAGCCTAGTTTCTCATTTTTTTTAATGATGCTAGGATATTGCATCCATCTGAGAAATCTTTGTTACCCTGAACTTATGAGTACTTTTTTGTCTGCTTTCTTCTAGACATATGGACTCTTGGATCTTGAGGCCTTGCTAAACTCAGTTTTGGTTCTCGTAGCTTAATTTTACCTAATCATGTCACATAGAAGTAAAGATAATTTTATATTTTTACCTAAAATCTGTATACTCTTTGGTTCTTTCTATTTCTTTTTAAATATGACTAGAATGTTCACAAAATCTTAAGCAGAAGTGGTGAAAGTGGACATACTTATCTGTTCCCACTGTCAAAACCCCTAGGCCTTCAAAATGAGGTATGACACTTAACTGGAGGCTTTTCATAAATGTCATTAATTGCCAAAGAAAGAAATTCCATTTTGGTTCCTACTTAGGCTGATTGTTAATCATAAATCAAGTTGAATTTTTTCTAATATCTTTTACATACTGTTTTATTGGATCATTTGGTTTTTATCTGTGATGCATCAACTGGTTCACAAATATTAAATAAATCTTATCAAAACAGACCTGATTGAGACCAGCAGATGGTGACTGCGGTTCCTGGACCCGATAGCATGAAAATCACTCTCGGCATGTGTGCACGTGTGCCCAAGATCCCAGGCAGAGAATGGAGAACAGATTGCAACGTGGCTATCCCCCGGGGTGTGGTTTCCCACCATCTCTGTCTCTCTCTCTGGCGAGCACACATGCCCTATGGCAAAAAAAAACTCTTTAAAAAAAAGATCTAATATAAGCTATACATAATCACTGTTTAACCTTCTTACATTTTGTTGAGTTTGATATGCTAATATTTATTAAGGAATTTTTTGTGTGTGTGTAGTTTAAGGGGTTTTTCTCTATAGTTTTCATTCTTTCTAAATATTTTGTGAAATATTAGTGTTAGGGTACTGCTGTTTCAAAAACAAGGCAGGATTCTTCCAGCTTCTTGCTTTTTCTTAAATAGTTTAGACTAAATTTAAATACTTCTTTCCTAAATGTGTAATTCTTTGTCGAAGCTATCCCTGTTCTTGAAGGTTTATTTTTGTTTGTTTTGATTTTCATGAGAAGGTTTGTATGTGTTTGATATATGTCCTTGAAGGTTTATTTTTGTTTTAATTTTCATGGAAAGATTTGTATTGGGTAGTTGGAAAAGTCATGATGTGTTTTTCTATGCAAAAATGCTGCATGACTTTTCCAAATAATGACCCAATATATGTTTTGAGTTCCTGTAGCTGATTTATTATGCTCTTTGGCAACAAAATCTTTCATTATAATATTCTATTTCAAACATCTAGAATCACAGAAATGATATTTAAACAACCATACACATCCTCCATTCAAAACAAACGTGATATTCCACTATATGCTTTATAGCCTTTCCAAGGCTTAAAGCAATTCAAACAGAACAGAGCTAAAGCCTCCTATGAAGACTTCAGCAATCTCATTGTGAAACATTTTATTCTTTTAACATCTAACTAAGTTAATCAACATGACAAGTAGTATCTTCACATGATTATTAATAGATAAATGGTATTTTACCTTAAATAAATTTTACAACTTACTTGTTTTGGCTCAACATTGACATTCTATTAACTCTACATGTTGAAATTATATTTAATGACTCTAACATGTATACACTTACTAAACTACCACTATAGTTAAAAGTGCTGTATCTTGAATTTTACTAACTCTAATCTGCCTGATCTCAGTGTGCACTCCCAGGCAAAAATTAATATGCTTTATGTCACTATAGATTTGTACATATTTTTATAATTTTCTGTAAATGGAGTCATATATATACTCTTTATCTGAGTTCTTTCAGTCAGCGTAAAGATTTTGAGATTCATCCATGTTTGTTTCATGTAGTAATAGCTTGTTCCTCTTTATTGCTGACTAGTATTCCATTGTGTGGGTATACCATATTTTGTTTATCCATTCACCTGATGGACATTTGGGTTGTTTCCAGTTTTAGGCCATTACAAATAAAGCTGCTATGAACATTCCTGTACAAGTCTTTGTGTGGACATATGTTTTCAGTTCTCCTGGGAAAATACCTATGATTGCAATTACTGGGTTATACGGTAAGTGTATGTTTAACTTGATTTAAAAAAAAAAAAGCCGGATGGTTTTCTAAAGTGGCTGTACAATTCCATGTTCTACTAGAAATGTTTGGGAGTTCCAGTTGTTTCAGATCCTTTCCAACATATGGTATATGGTATAGTCAGCTTTTAAAATTTTAGTCATTTCAGTGTACATGACTTGTGTTATCACAATGTGATTTTAATTTTAATTTTCCTGATTAAAAGATATTTTGAGCATCTTTTCAAGTTCCACATGATTGTTATTAGTATGACTTTTTTACTTAGTATAAATATCTTTTCCATTTTTTAAAGTAAGTAGTTTATTTGTCTTACAACTCTTACTGACCTATAAGAGTACTTTATATTGTATAGACAGACTTTTTCTAATATATGTGTTGTGACAATTTTCTCCCGGGCTGTTCCCTACAAAAAAAATTTTATTAGCAAGGAAAAAAAAATGTTAGAGAAGTCCAACTTGTTCTTAATATTTTTATTCTGTAATTAATTGTTTGTGTTCTAATAATCCTCATCTGATTCTAAGGTCACAAAGATTTTTCTCTTGTGTTTTTAAATAGTATCTTGGATTACACATTTAGGTCCGTGGTCTGTTTTTAGTTAATTTTTTTGACTGGTGTGAGGATGAGGGTTGAAGATCATTTCTAACCATAAGAATATTACGTGCTGATGACCCAGTGCCATTTGTTGAAGAGCCTTTTCTTTCTTCTTTAAAAATGCCTTGTCTCTCCTCTGTCAGAAATGTACTCATATGTGTGTGGGTTTAATTCTGCTCCATTTATCTATATATTTGTCATTTCATCAATACCAAACTGTCTTGATTACTGTAGCTTTCCAATAGCCATTAAAATCACATAGGGTGATTGCTACACAATCTTCACCAGGTCCACTTCTGAACATATTCAGGATTTCCATGTAGATTTACATGAAGACAGAGTGCTGATTAGAAAAATATGGAGTATATGTGTCCATTCATGCTAACACTTTCTCCTTAAAAATGAATGATTAGGTGTCTGATTTTATGTATTTATTCTGAACATAGTTAACCTACATTATCCTGGAGGTAGATCTACTTGTGGTGGTCTAGGACTTTCAAAATGATATTCATCCTCTTTGCATATACCTTTTTTCAAACTGCAACTTTATTCACATTGAAAAAAACATTTCTTAATTCATGCAGACATACAATTATTTTTAGCAGAAGCATCAGGGTCATTGTTTTACTACCAATAGCCATGTCAGTAAAACATTGGTAAATTAAAATATCAGTATTAGTGGTACTTTATTTATAAAAGCCATATCACATGACTGTCCAAACATACTGAAGGATATAAAACAAAAGTCCATGAGAAGGAAGTCTAGACTCAAAGGCGTTTGAATAGCAAGTTGTGTGCTTTGTATGTATTTTTCTAGACAAATGCATTTTCTAGGTTAACTTCTAGTCTAATGTTTTGGGTTTAAATATGGAGGGGTATGTACAACTTTGTTTTTTATTTAAAGAATTCTTTCAGTTTACACCAGCAGATGGCATGGTTAAGGTACTAGATCCCACATGGTCGACTCTGTGGTTTGAGTCCTAGACCCAGTGGCCTTACAAATGCCTGGCATGAGTGTGTGTGTCCCCAATATCCTAAGAGAAGAATGGAGAAGAGGAATTTCAACATGACCATTTGCCTAACCCTCTTACCATGAGGGGCTGGGGGGCATTCTCACTTTTCTTCTCTCTCTGTGTCTCTCTGTCTCTGTCTTTGTCTAGCAAGTGCATACTCTATGACAAGAAAAAAAAATTACTCCAGTTCTTTTTTTCTTTGAATCACTATATACATTTTAGAATTAGCAGATAAATTTCTACAAATCCAGTATAATTTGAATCAATTTCATAGATTCTAGAGACAAACTTAATGAAAATTGTATCTTAAAGATAGTCTTCAAGGGACCATGGTGATTTGCAATTTGTGTAAATTCTTTTAATTCTGTCTTCAGGATGTACTATATTTTTCATTGTAGAGTACTAGCAAATATCTTTATTAGATGTATTCATAAGTATGTTATATTTATTCTATTGTTTCATTTATTTATTTATTTTTGACTTTTGTTCCAGGGTATGTGCACTTGCTAGAGAAACAGAGAGAAACAGTGAGAGGGAAAGTGAATAGTCATTGCCCACAAGGGGGTGGCCGCACTGCATTCAGTTCTCTGCATTCTGTTCACTCTCCCGCTGGGACTTTGGGGATGCATGCACACGTGCCTGGTGTGAGTTTCCAGCTGCCAGGTCCAAAACTCAAACTTGCCTTGTTTAAGTCCAGCAACTTAAGTATCATGCCACCTGCTGGCCCCATAAATAGAATTATTTTATTTATCTTTTTTATTTTTGAAAGAGAGAGATTTTTTGCTATAGGGCATGTGCACTTATCAGAAAGACAGAGAAGGAGAGACAGAAAGCCAGAAATGGCCCCTGCAGGGGAGCATGGCCAAGCCACAAATGGTCCCGGATTTTTAAAAATATTAACCTGGGTGCTACAACTCTGCCTAATTCAGTGATTAAATATCATAATTATTGGGACCAGTGGTTGGCGTAATGGCTATGTCACTGGACTCCCATGTAGTCGACCATGGTTCAAGTCCTGGACCCAGTGGCTTAAACTCACGCCCAGTGCGTGTGCATGCATGCCCAAGACCCTGAGAGGAGAATGGAGGAGAAGGGGTTG